ATTTATATTTTGCATATGAAAGCATTGTAATGCTTACTAATAATCTGCCAAATTTTGTTAACATGCTTACTAATTTAAAAATTATAGCATGAAAATTATAACAAGCACAAAATGATTACGAGGTTATGCTGAAAGAGTTAAGAGCCAGAAAGACTAAAAGTGGGTTTTCAGGTCACTGAATCTGACATTGGATTTTGTGTTCCTGATTATCCCTTGGGATGATAGGAGCAGATGTTTGAAACTGTTTTCATACCGTTTTGATAAGCTAGCAAGACTTAACATGGCACACATGCTCAGGTACCATGAGTAGGTATTCTATTATGGTTTGTTTTGGGTTTATCCCCCCCCCCCCAAAAAAGAGTATCTCAAAAATTAATTGGGGATAATAAAGGAGATTGACCATTACATTGTAACCTCTGTGTATTGAGGAATGGAACTTTGCAGTGGAGCTTGGAAATTTTATGCTAGTCATATAAAAAGTTAACAAAATTGTAATATTGGTTTTGATACTCATAAGCTGCTACTTTTAGTTTTGTGACTTATTCATTATTTAAAAGTCCATTGATATATGTTCTATACTTTTTGTTATTCAGAAAAAACAACACCATCTCAGAAATCACCAGTGACAGTTCAGGAATGGGTGAATTCAATTCAGTTGGCTCCGGGAGAAGAAAGCAGGTGTGTTTTGAAATAAGTCTTCAATGTATAACTGTAAAGAATGAGATTATGAAATACAAGTTTACAGTAATTTACACATTTGCTTACTCATTGCTAAATAATAAAATAATTCAGTTAGTAGTTGAATTTCTATTGTTTTTAGGCATTACATTTACTAATCTTTACAAGCAGAAGATTAGGCAATAATTTGATGCTCCCATTTGAGGTGCTTATCCTTCATCATAATACTTCCATCTTGTATATCTGTGTTAAAGAATTTTTTATATATTAAATATATATATATATATTTTATAATATTACAAAAAATTGCAAAATTTGTTTTTAGTTTAAAAAAACAACTTACAAAATGGTTAAGACAGCCTATGCTTAAAATTTAGTGTGCCAGTTTGCCCAAGATCAATAAAAAACAAATATAACAGACACCAAAGTTTGAGAGACTCAATAAAAAAATTTGTAAGATTTTTGCAGGAATACTAACAGCTTGAGTATTACAAGTTTTTTTGGTGTCATTTTTTTATTTATTGTTATATATTTTTTAACAAAAGTTATCAAAATGTAAAAATTTAAACTTCTCAGCATAACCTAACAAAAGTTCAGTAAAATAAAATGTCTGAAATTTCACTAACTTGAGTACAGTGTAAAATATGACATTCAGATCATGTGCTGTTTTTGTTATCTCTAGAGGAAATGGCTAATGGGCTTCTGCTCTGATTTATTGTTTTTGATGTGTGAGGATTACTGCCACAGTGGGTACAAAATATGTGACAAAGATTAACAGTTGAAACTGTTAAGATAAGTAATTTGGAACTTTCCCATCAATACTGCAGTTAGTGTAGAAGAAAAAATTGTATTATTGATTTGATTTCAAATTTTCACTTCACTGTATATTGATGATTTCTCTACAGATAGTTAGGGTAGAGAAAATAAAAGATAAAATATTTTATTGAAGAAACTTTTAGTTTTCATTTAGAAGGTTTTAAAGGTTATGCAAATGAAATATGAAAAGGAATATTTTCTTTTTTTTTTTATTGAAGATCATCTTTCACTCAGACTGACTCTACAACTTTATGAACAAATATTTAGTTGAAACACTTGATTAAAAATTATCTTTTTGTGTAAAACAGACTTTTAATGCTTACTAAATGCTTGCCAAAGTTTGTGAACATACATAGTAAATTCAAAGTTGTGTATAGTTTCATAGTTCCAAGGTTGGGCAAGTTGACTAACTTTGTTATTATAGGGTTAATGTGCATTTCAACAGTGCTGGAGGACTAGTTGTAAATAAATTCGTTTTCACTTTCAATAATTTTGAAGAAAACAGGTTTTAAGAATTAAAATGTCATGCTCATATTTAAACCTTGTGATGTATTGGGTGATAATAAACAAAAACCCATATTTAAAATAATACATTGTAAAAACTACTTGCGTTGCTACAACTAATCTTCATTAGAGGCACATCGAGAATCATAAGCTTTATTCAAGGAAGTTTATACATGATAAAGGGTATTTCATAAACTACCATAGTTGTTGTTCAACATGTTTTCTGTCATTTTCCATAAATGTATCAGGCATATCCTGAAATGAAGCCACTACAAGTGTCATCTGTTCTGGACAGTTTTCCTTGATCTGTATCTTGACATGCAATTTTATTCAAATGCAAATCTATTGTTGTTGGAAGAGGCAGATAAAAAAGAAGTAAAAGTAATGCTTGTTCGTAACAAAATCAATTTACGTGTATAGTATAATATAGTTTTTAAACGTTTCTGAATAGGACTTATGATTCTCAGTGTGTCTGTGGTGAAACTGTGTTTCTAAAATATTAGATTTTAATATATAGTTATTTTAGATATGGGTTTTTCTTGATAATCACTACTTAAATTTAATAGCACGTATGATACATACTAAGGAGTTAATAGTATGTATGTTTTTGTAAGATGGACCAGAAAGTAGACATTGAATTCTTGAGGGTTTTTACATTTCTCAATTTGATCTTTCATTTGATGCTTCGATTAAATTCATTGTTTCCTGACATACCTGATTTTGTTATAAATCATTTATTCACACAAATGTCAGCTTAATAATGTAGAGTAAGTGATAAAACATTGTATTTATGTATCCAGTTTTTAATACTACTCTCTGGTAGCTATGTTTTCTATTTTAACAAGATGTTCTTCTTTAAAACAAGTTTTGTCTTATTTTGCTCTGAAGTGTTAGCCAAAATAACTATGTCCCTTGCAGATCAGTGGAGGAGAAACAGAATGTTTGTGAACAACTACCGAGATCACAAACAGAAAAGATCACCCCAGATGTTCCTATTTCACCAACTGAACAACTTCGGGAAGGTTCATTTGATGACAACCTCTATTTGGGAGCAGAAGGTAAAAAATTAGCCTTCAAAACAAAAAATACTTTAGATGTGTTGTTTCAGTGGAACTTTAGACAGAGTATGTTTGAGGACTAGTGGTTTGCAACTACCCGTTGAATGGAAAGAGGATGACATTTCAGCTTCTATACTAAGGCCTCACTATAGAACACATACATGTCCCCTTTTATTCAGCAGTCAGTTGTAGTCCATTAATGTTCTCAAACCTAATATTTTATATTAGATATCTTACCCCCAAAAATATTTAACTCATTCTTTCTAAAGTTAATAAAAATAATTTGTTCAAACGTACATACTTTTAGTTTGCTTATCATTCCTGTTTTGTTTTTGTACTTACTGCCATGTTTACCAGCTTCACATCTTGAGTTGATCCCATCAGGTGTCCTGTCTTTAAAACACCCATTTAATATCTTTGAAATGCATACCTAAAGTTGTTTATAAGAGAAAATAAGTTTTTCTGACATAACGATTTTATTTGTGTCATCAGTCATGTTTTAATCTTTTATAATTTAAAGTGAAACTCTCACAATTTAAAAAAAGAAACTCATACTGTTTAGTAATTTTTACAGAAATATAATATTACTAAAATTTTGTAGTTTCTAGCTAAAGTTTTGTTTGCAAAAATTGATTAAGTTTGAATGTATTTTACATATATTGACAAAGTAGCTTCAAACCTCATCACTGGCTGCTTGTGCAAAAACAAGTTTAAAGTAGCAATAATTATTGTAGCAGAACACATGGACGTGTTTACTTAAATGCTCATGACATCAAAAATTCTGAATTATGGTAGATAAATTTGGTAACTTATTGTAAATGTACAAACTTTGATTTTGTCTTAAACATTTTTACACATATGGACACACCCAATGAAGTTCTAAAAGCAAAAGGAAAAATATCTACTTAGCTGACACTTTTTTGTGAAAATTGGTTAACAAATAAAAGGGAAAAAGTTGTTCACTTATCTGAGAGCTTTATTTTAAATTCTGTTGAGTTGTGTATATGTGTGTGAACATTAATACATTTCAATAAACATGTACAGAGAAATAGATAACAGTGCATTTTTATTTTGTTTCCTGATTGAGAATTATTGCCAACTGATAATTTTTTTTATCTCCCTATGAAATTTAAGCTCGAAATTTAGATGGAGTTCTTCAAGAAGCAGCTGTTAACAGGTAAGTTTTTCAGTGAAGTTTGCTTATTTTAATAGATTGTAAGCACATTCATTCAAAATAATGGAAAGGAAAGTTGTTACTGGTTTCAAATGGACGTTACTTCTCTATTTTAGCAGGATGAAGATAATTTTCTTCATCTAAAGATATGTAATAATGAAACCCTTAATTTTCAACAGGGTGGCCAACTCTCTCTCACCTCAGTCTCGTCGCATGTCTTTTGGAGATTTGCAAAGTAAACAGAGTAGTTTCAATTCTGATTTTTCCAGTTACTCTGGTATATCCAGTCTCTCTAGGTAAGCTGGATATAATCCATTTAGTTATTTATATTGGATATTAAACTCAAATCTTCCTTCCACATGTTAAGAAAATAAAGCTTGATTAATTAACTTCAGACATTTGTTATGTTATCAAAACAGAAAGATAAAATCATATCTCTTGTGGAATGTAAAATTTCTACTTAATTACACAGATGTGTTCACAGTTTGTGACAAAACAAAACAAATTAATTTCTATGCTTTTCAACCACATTATTTTTGGCTAACCAGAAGCATGCAGATTTGTAACTAACTTATACAAATTTTTATTAATTTGAGAAGAAATTTCAAAATGAATAAAAACATCAGTGTCCGTGTTCTTCTGCAGTGGTAGTTGCTTTAATCTTGCTCTGCCTTTCGCACCTTCCTCATATTTTACTTGGAGTTCTGTTTCTTGAGAGTTTCATCTTGAGTAATACACATAGACAGGCTAAGACTATCATTGTTATGCAACTGAAGGGAACCATGTCATTTAAATGGTTTTGATGTGATAATTTTTATCAGTAAATTTTAAAGGCTTTACTCTGCACATTTGTTCCTGGTTTTTATGATTCCTAGTCAATATTATTTTACAACAAAAAGATGAGTAAAACATATCTCTGCTATTGTTTTCATTTTGATTATCATATAAGTATTTCACTATACAAATTAGGTATTAAAAACAACTAATTTTGTTCTTCCTAGTGTGGAATCTTTGCTGGAGGCCAGAAGAGGGGATCCAGAAGAAGTACTCCTAGCTCTTGGCTTTGGAGGAAAACTACCCAAAGATCCCATCTCTCGAATACCAAAAAGGTTCCTTTTGCAACCATCTTGTGCAAAGGGAGTAAAAGTAGAAGATTTCCTAAAGCATCAGGAATACTTACTAGCTAGACGAGTATCTGGGCCTTTGGAATTTTTAGGAGTTTCAAGTCAATTTCACTTAAAGCAGCAATATCTTAGACGCAAGTGTAGCAGTAGCTGCAGCTTTCCACAAGTAGCAAGAGTAAGTTCTTTAGAATTGCATTCTACACACCTTTCTCATTCTGGACAGTCTGAGAATGGTTACAAACAGAAGAAAGCTAGGAAGAGCACAGTCACATTTTTAGATGAAATTGATCCCAGCCAAGACTTTCACAAAATACCTCACATCTCAGTTACAAACCCACAAAATGTTACAAACTTAGAACTCTCAGACAAGCATTGGCCTTCTGAATCATCTAGGCCACAAGACAACACCAAGTGGTGGAACAAGTTTGTTTACAGTTCAGATGTTGTCATTAGTAATTCCAGTAATTTTAGCTACTCCTCCTCAGACACCCATACAGGCATTAGCTCTCCCCACCGAGTGGTACGATCTAGTCTTGTGTAATATATCCTATGCTATAAATTTCCATATCATTTTTGCTTGATAAAATGTATATTATTTCTGCCACAATCATACATTGGCTACACTGGTGTTTATCATTTTAAATTTTAAATATGGTCAGGTTGAGTATGTCACCCCTCTGTGGCTCAGCAGTAAGTTTGCAGGCTTACAATGCTAAAAATGGAGTTTCAATACCCAAGATGGGAAGAGCAAAGATAGCTCATTTTGTAGCTTTGTGCTTAACTACAACAGAAAATAAACTAAATGTGTTTTTTAAGATTAACAACATATTTTGTCTTTCAGGCAGGCTTAGTGATCCAGCATTTTAATTGTTTACACCAGCAGCTTTTTTTTAAAGCTACTAATAAATGTGATTTAAGACAAAAATTAAGATTTGTACATGTATGTGCAAAAAACATTAATGTGAAAAATAACTGTAGATATATACTGACACACAAAAATGTGCTGTTTTAGTTAAGTGTAATGAAGAGTGTCTATGTTAGTTATTGTTGCATACAGGCCTCCCAGTAAAACTAAAAACCTGTTAAAGCTTATATTTTAAAGTGGTACTATTTTGTTTTTGTGAAAATAATAAGTAAATCCAACAAGTTTTCATAAAAGTGTTAAAAGTAAGAATTTTGAGAAAGGGATAAAGCTCTCCACTGTAAAGATTAACAAAATCCTAATAAATTTATAAAATATTTTATGGAAAAACATAAGAAACCTATTTTAGTTACAGTAATATTGTGATTTTATTAATGGTTCAGGTTAGAAAATGAATTGTTTACCAAATAAATGAGGTAGAAAAACCTACAAAAACATACAATTTTATAGAAAATAAGTCTATAGAAACCTGTATGTTCATGTTACATCCTCTTTTAATTCTTAAAAATATTCTAGGAGAGCTGATATTACAGAAGACATCATTGGCTAAGTAGCAAATAAATAAAAATATATTTTACTTTTTATGTGCAACAGATGGCAACATTTTTAATTCAGTTTTCTAAAAAAAAAAACATTGGTTAAAAGACAAAGAAACTTTTTTAATGCAACATAGGACAACATTCTTAGTTCATTGTTAAAAAACATTGGTTAAAAGACAAAGAAACTTTTTTAATGCAACAGAGGTCAACATTCTTAGTTCATTGTTAAAAAACATTGGTTAAAAGACAAAGAAACTTTTTTAATGCAACAGAGGTCAACATTCTTAGTTCATTGTTAAAAAAACATTGGTTAAAAGACAAAGAAACATTTTTAATGCAACAGAGGTCAACATTCTTAGTTCATTGTTAAAAAAACATTGGTTAAAAGACAAAGAAACTTTTTTAATGCAACAGAGGGCAACATAATTAGTTCATTGTTCCAAAAAGAGACTTCTTGCTGAAAATTCATAAACCCCTTTCAGTATTCACTACAAATTCTAAAAAACAACAAAGCATTGTTAGTTAAATGACAAAAAATATAAAATGCTTTTCTAAGCATCAAAAAGCAGTATTGCCACTCTGGTATACCAAATGAAAATTCTTGGGTAAATGATAAAGAAAGGAATATTCATCTTAAATGCAAACAAAAGAAGTGTTTGATAAGGAGTGTTAGTTATGTAATGGGAGATCATTTAGGCAAGTCATTTGGGGTTCAACTTCAGCACCAGTTATGAATGAAATATTTATAATTCCAGATGTGCAGTCATGAGTGGGGTACACACGTTACCAACTAGAGGAAGTTTACAGTTAGGATAAACAAATGAATTGGAGACTGGATTCAAAACGCATACAATACTTTAATACAGAATATTCATCTACATTGAAATTACCAAAAGTATCTTGTTAAGCTTCCACATTAAAGGAACCAAATTATTCGTTCTGAGTGAGCAATTGTTCGTTAATTAAACTTTCAATAATATTCAGCAAATCTCTCATTTCTACTAATAGGTACTCTAGATTTGAAGGTAACTTCTTTGAAGGCATGTTGAGCACACAATGCCAGGTTGTGACATGTGAATTTGATAATAATAACATTGAGAGATACCTGTCTCAATCGTGAAAGCATAGAATTATGGGCACCACACACATTATTTGCCCATCAGATGAGAAACGTGTGCAGTTTGCCAAATCAATGTTGATTTGTGTCATAAAATCTGATATTGCCCAAAATAGATTTTTACCAGTTGCTGATGTAACTTGCAGTAATGCGAAAAATTCTATTTTCATAACATTGTCTTTGGAGGAAAAAAATTAACACAAAGACACAGTAGTTTGCTGGTAGATATATCTGTTGACTCATTTGTCAACAACAAAAGTTTAACTTCTCTTAACTCGTTAATTAAATCTTCATATAATGCCGTGGCAACCACATTTTGTATGATGCAATATTAGGTTTTAAAATAAACTTTTCTTGCTATATTTTTTTATTACATCTAACTTGTGGTCCACTAAACATATGCTACAATGACACGCTAAAGATACACTGTACTTGATTTCAAATTCTTTGAACGATGAGTTAACATTTGATTTTTCAAAATGAGATTGAATCTTCAGTTTTGATATTGAATCCAAATTCTTCATGTGTTTAGAATTTTTCATGTAAAACTAAACTATTTCTTTTTATACTGATACTGCATACTTTACAGTAACATGCATTACCTCTTTGTGTTAACCACTTAAACTCTTCTTCCCATTTTTTGTTATATTTTCTCTCCTCTTCGTAGGAGGTTTTCCATTCCCCCATTTTTAACAGTATAACATATACTTCTCGCTTAGATATTCTAAAAATATTTTGATATCATAACACTGCACCATAGATTATTAGTTCACAAAGTACATGTAAATGTGCAAGGTGATTAAATCTGAGTCACTATTGGAAAGCTGCTAACTAGCACTTAACATGCTGCTAATTATTTAAGCCTAGTCAACTATCCAACAAATGCTTGGGGCATGTGCATACTTAAGACTTATTTTGAATAAGTGCCATAAATCTGTGACACATAGACATATTGGTAATGAAAACTGAAACAGAATGCAAGTAAAATGTGATGCAGTACAATAAGTAGAAGCTATTTTTTATAACGAAATTTTCTAGTTATCATTTTTTCTTTTTATTTATTCATTTATTTTGATTTTACTCTTAAAAAAGCCAAAGTAAGGCCAAATAATATTTGGCCTGCATGCAAAAAATTTGAAGGCCAACAAGTTTCCAAAAAAAAACAATTTGGCCTTAAAAAGGCCAAACATGGCAACCCTGAAGTCTCCTTTTCCAAAATTGAACCATTCTGTTTCTCCACATTCTGCCCTCACTGTAACCTCTTGCTCAGTTTAAAATCTCTTCAGCAGAAGAATCAGATGTTCTGGTACACTCATTTTCTGAGTACATTTCAAAATTATGCATGGTTCGTGCAGTCTAACACTTGGCTGCAGTCAGTAAAACACAGATAAACTACTTTTTTTATTCTCTTGCCATTTCCATTATCCATCTTATGTAAGCTATCTGATCTCATATTCCTCTACCACTCCTGAATCTAGTTTGTTCATCTGGCAGTTTCTTTCCGTAAAAGGTTTAAGATTTTTCAGTAGGATCTTAAGTATAACTTTGCTTGTTTGTGTGATCAGGGTGGTCGTGCAGATGTTGGCACATTCTCTAGCATTTCCATTCCTTTGGTAAAGGGATTTACATTGATTATTTCCATTTCTTACTCCACTCTTGTTGACAGTTGACAAATAGCTGTTAGGACTTTAATTGCCTATTCCTCTTTTGCTTTGAACAGTTATGTGGGTACCTCATCAACTCCTCGTGCCTTTCGTTAGTTTATTCAATACCCATTGCACTTCACATTCTAGTAGTATAGGAATGTAGATATTATAATACATAAGCATACAATCAGAAGGGTATATATATCACAAATTATTGGCAGGTCTGCATACAAGCAGCACATTACTAGAAGATTTGCACAAAATATGAAAAGGAATACGTGCAAATTATTTTTAAAAGAGTTTCACAGAAGTAGGAGGGAATATATAATGCAAAAAAGTATAATGTAATATATGAAGGTAATACGAGTTGCACACTAGCAGTAGGGGATGTGTTCAGTGTGTTAGTAATACACGTTACTAGAGGACTTGCATACATAGAGATGCAATTGTGTACAAATTATTGAAAGACTAGTGTAATGGAATGCATTCATATTTGAAGAATACATGCATGCAAACAGAAGACTTGTATATATTAATTAAAAGACACTTAGACATTAACAGAAATGACTGTGAACACTGTATTTGAAAGAACAGAGATGTTAGTAGAAAGTAACATGAATGTTATTAATGCAAGGAGACTGGTAGAAGAATACATGCACACTGTTCATAAACACAGTACTTTAATATAGGGGAATGTATACATGTTGTTGAAAGCTAAAAACACACACAAACTCAAAGGGATCTTAGGAACATTATTTAGAGACAAACACACTTATTACTGGAAGGGGATCTTAATAAATTATGAAGTAATCCAGAGATATGTTTTACATTACCTCTAAAGTACACTTTCTGCTGTTGTATTTTTTAGGAAAAACTGAACTACACCAGCCTTTCAAATTTTATTTATAGTTATATATTCACTTTTGTCTCAGGGTTTTTTTCATGTACAAGACTACACTTAGATATGTTTTTTAATATAACATCAAAAATAAAGAACTAACTCAGAAAATGGTTTTCAGAACAATATTATCTAAGGTTATACTAAATAAAACTAAACTAAGTTCAACACCAGTACTTTGGCCTATGTAAAACTTAACTAGTCTGTTTACAGTTTTTTCTAATTTAGAACTAATAAAACCTTTAACTGGTGTATATTCAAGTCATTCTCCCAAAAATTGTACTTTTTAACTCAGTACTGGAGCATCCTTCTAGTAATCAACATTCATAATTTGTATATAGAGTGTAAATTTGAGTATTGATGTTAAGTAGATTACATTTCCTGAAATATAATGTATCTTTATATCTCTAAAGCTGTGTTTTAGTAATCACTTCGATCAATACAAATGTGTAGGATTTTTTTTTTTTCATAGTTGTATCGTTGGTGAGTTGATGATAGCTACAAATGAATATTTTGCCTTATCTGATGAAGGGTGAATTGATTGCTCTTGAATTAATGCAAGAATTGCATATACTAATACACTGATTTTTGTTCTGTATTTGACAACAACATTTGTATTGTATGGAATAATAGGTGTAGTATGAATAACTTTTTTGTGTTTGGAAGTGTACATTTTTGTTTTTCCTCTTCAGTATTATTGCTCAATTTGTTATAGAAACAAAATATTGTATCACTGTTTTAAGACAATGCATAAACAGTATGCTGCAGCTACCACTAGGTGGCTATAGAATATAAAAACATACTGTATTACTTGTAGTTTAATTCACTATTTTAACCAAATGTATTGTTCAAGTTAAGTCTTATCAGTTCATGAGTAGAGATGGTGAAATGCAGGTAAAAACACATAGCCTTATAGCTACCAATCAGAGAGTGGGTTTAGATCCCATTAACCTGTCTCTCTGTTGTTTTTTTTTTGTTATTGTTGACTTGTACCATTTTTAGCTGTGGCTTATGGAATGGCTCCGAGTAGTTTTTTTTCAAGTACAAACTTTTAGCTTTGTCATTTCTTGACCGATCTAAGATCTAATTACATTTTTGGACTCATGAGTTCAAACCCTTTAGATTGATGTATTTGACCATGCCCAAGGTTTCATAGATTGATTTACTATAATCCTGCCTAAAAGAATTTCAGTTTGAGTTTAGACTGGTAAAGATCCTGATGAGTAATAAAGTTGAATCAGGTATATATGTACCCCATGTTTGGTATTGCTGGCACACAAAATATAGTTAATAAAAAGGAAAAAAAACGTCTCGTAGATTAATTTATTCTAATTATGCCTAAAAGAATATTAAGTACCCCAGCTATTGAGGAATCCCTCTTGATTAACTAAATAATTACTTGAAGTACTAAAATCATTGTTATAGTAATCTATCTTTGGCCTTAATTTGATACACTATTAAATTTAATGTATTATTATTGATAGACTTTAAGACAAGTCATTCAAAACTAAAACTTCTGCATCTACTCAAATGTTGTCCATTTCTGTCTTGTTATAATAAACAAAAAGTTACAGTTACATATCGCATTAAAGGTATCAGAATATGGAGTTGAATAAATTACAATGCTTTAGTGGCAGGTCTACTGAGGTGTTAAGATGTGTGTCACTTTTATCATTTTGTGTACAAAAGTAACTTGTGACCAATTTTGTATTGTTTCTTTTGGAACATACGAAAAAAATTTTGATGATACTGTACAAATGTAAGATAAGAAGTTTTAACAGACAATAATAAATATTTTTACTTTAGTTGAAATTATTGAGGAAAAGAAACTTTCATTAGGTTTTATGTATATAGACACATGCACATGTATATATGTACAATGTTTACCCTGACTGATTTAATAATAGGCTATTGTCTCAGGGAGCTGATTATACTTTAAGCCTAATGCTAGAATACAGGAACTTGGTGAAATTAATCATTGTAATTTGTATAACTTGCTTTTATGCTATAAATATTCTAACAATTGGTAGAAAATGAAGAGGGGAATTTTGTTCCTTGTACATTAATGAATCTTGTTATGTGTATTTATATACATACTTGAAATTTTAGAGTTGATATTAAAACAGAGAATACTTGAAAAAAAAGCACCGTAGTTATCTTTATAAATTTATAAGCTGTGAAGCATACATGTGTATGGTAAACATATGAATTTGATATCAGTATTGAGCTAATATATATATATATATATATAATTTTTTCAGTTTATTAGTTTATGTTAAGTGATTGTGTTTGCTTAATCACTAAAAACCTAAAAGTGTTATAAAACGTTTTTACAGTTATTTATAAGTTATGATTCACCATATCAAATGGTTACCGAGGTCACAAAATTCAGTATTCATATATAATATATACTTAGTTTTATTGTGTTAGTGTAAAGTATTTTCCAATTTTATTAGCAATGTTGTTCTAATGATTTTAATAGCATATTCAAGTCCCAAACAATCAATAGACATATCCTAACTAGATTTTTAATATTTGTTTAAAAAGAAACATTTTTATGAATAAACTCTCACATGATAGCAATATGTTTTTATAAACTTTGTTAGTTAATATAGATGTTTAATAATGTAAAATCTTGTGAATTATTTGAATTTCAGTTTGTGTTTATTAACATTTAGCAAAAATTTGATGCAACAGTAAAGAAGTTATTTAGATGTTAGAACATTCTTGATATAAATCTCAAAAGTTTTTATACTTGTGCTTCAGTACTTGTTAATCGTACCTGCCAGTAGTTTGTAGATGTGAAGTTATGTTACTCACATTAACATATATTTCATGATGTTACAAGGGAAAAGAAAAAAGGTAATTCATGTAATAAAACAACAAATTCTTGAGATAGTTCTAAAAGTACTACCTCAGTTGCATAGCTAAACTAAAAATATACATTAAACAATCTATTTTTTTTAATTACATGTTACTCTAGAAATTTGGCTACTTAAAATACAGATAAACATGAGGAAATTTTTCTGTTTCTTTTGTGATAAACACACTTTCTGTCAAGAAGGGCCCTGCAACACATCCACTTCAGCCTTTTCAATTCTCTGGGTGATAGTTTCAATGTTTATAAGCTTTGATAAAAAAAGGGATATAATTTAATATTTTTGTGAGAACTTTGCTTCATAAATCTATTAAACTAAGCTAAATGAAGTGTGATCTTGTTTCATGTGCCATAATTACCTGTTTTGTTATTTTTGCCTGTAACTTTTTCAATGAAATTAATGGTTCAACAGTATATTTAGAGTTTTTGAAAAGTAAGTTAAAAAGACTTAAAAGTATATTTGCATAAATTGTATTTAAATAATGCAAATACTTTTTTGTTCAAGCTTAATAAAAATACTCAAAGAACACAACACATTTCAATCTTTTTTTCTTTCTATGTTATATGCTGTGTGTGCTTTTAATAAAATATATTCATATTTCTTATTACCCTTTGAGGGAAATTGTATTTATACACAACTTGTAGTTTGTATGAAGCAACAAAAACATGTCTGTATTTTTGATGATAAGCTTGTGATATTTCTATATATTTCAATTTTATTTTTTGCTTACTTGCAAGTTCTGATGTTTTCCCAACCAAAATAAAACAATTTTATTTAAGATGGCTTAGAGAAATAGGGCTTTTGTTTGATGATATAAAACTGTGTAAGAAATGTTTAATTTGTATCGTTACTGGCCTTTTCATGGATACTTAATTTTTGATTAAAAATACAGAATAATGTAAGTTTAATATATTAGATATGTAAATTTTTTGTATTAATTTTCATTAGTTAGGTGCACAGTTAATATTTATAACAATGCTTGTGAAATGTTCAAAGATTTTCATGTATTGACAAACTATGTACGTGGAATGTGTATAGATAGGTAAATACCTTATTTCTTACATAGAAGCAACCAATTTTTTATTTAGCTAAAGCAAACTGTTAAACATTAGAATGAGCTTCTAGTTTTAATGCCGAATTATATAGATATATATGTATTTTCTGCTCTTTTAGTGATTTCAATATATCCTTGAAAACAATTTGGTGTGTGTGGTTTTTGTTTCAAGCTGTTTTTTACAGATCAAAGTTAAGTATTTATGTATTTAAAAACGTTTTATTGACCCTGACAAAAATATTTACATATCTTAGTGAACAGTGGCTTTCAGTTTCATAAATTAACTGGTAAAATAAGAATATGCATTCTTTAGTTAATAAAGGTTAAGATTTTGAAAATTATAAATCATTTACAAAAAACAATACTGGAATAACTACATATTAACATAATGTCAAACTTACCTACTGAGATGTTTAAAAATTAAAATTTTTATATTTGAGGTTTTTCTTTTACATTATCTCCTTACACACTTTATTAGCCCCAACAACATCTTAATTTAATGTTAGTTTTGTTGCTGCTCACAACGTAAAAAAAAGTATAAAAAACAAAACAAAATCTTATTTACAACCTGCTTTATTAAAAAACCTAGAGCACTGAGAAAGAAACCACTGCCAGGGAACGGGCATGAGTCCACAATGTATTTAAAATTTTAAGGTACTTCAACAGAGAAAAAACCCAACACTAGTCCACACTGTATTGAAAAGCCCAGAGCTAGAAAATAAACTAGGTTTCGTTACGAAAAACAAGCCTCAGTAAAAGTATCCAGTATTAAAAAAGCATATGGTATATCAGGAGAGAACTTAAAGTACAGTTAATTCACAAAACTAGGACGTATATGAAAAGTTTAAAAAAGCCTGAAATACACTTTCACAATATAGAATAGCCTAAAGCAGATAGAGGAAAAAAAAAAGGCCCCCCAAAATCATTTTTCAGAATTTTGCACAAAGCTGCACGTAACAGTCATCCCTTCTTTCAACTGATAGACTAAAGGGAAAGCAGCTAGTTAACAGCAGTTACCACCAACTTTTGCATTACTCTAATTTAGCAGAATAGTGAGATTTCACCATCACATTCTAATGCATTCATGGCACATTTTTGTGGTAACAAATCTAAACCATGAATCCTTATGTTAAACATAATACCACGCAAAGCCCATCAAAAACTGACCAGATGGTGTTGATTTGAAGTTGCACTAGCTATCCCTAATTTAGCAGTGACATTAGACAAAAGGCAGCTTGTCAACACCACCTACCATCAACTCTTGGACTACTTTATTTTTTACCAACAAATAGTGGGATTGACTGTCACATTATAACACCTCCATGGCTGAAAGAGCAAGCATTTTCAGTGAAGGGGATTCAAACTCGTGACTCCCAGATTGAAAATTAGGCACCTGAACCACCAAGTCATGCTGAGCCTCATGTAGTGTTGAAAAAAAACAGTAAATCAAAAGGAACAGAAAAGTCTCAAATACAGACCACTTATTCTAAATTCTCTGTCACATTAGGAAGAACTACTTCAAGTATGGACATTGCAGTGTGAAAATAAGGTAGCTAAGTTAAGCAATCATGAAAATCTACCCAATCTAAATTTTCACTTTATTAAAAAATATGCTACAAGTGTTGAAAACCTCAGTACATCAAAAGGAACAAAAAATTCAAATAGGCTCTGCCATTTTGAATAAAGACTTGTCAGATGTTTACCCATAAACATCAGTCTGATAACTTCTTATCAGACTAATTAAATTGCATCTTTTTTTTCCCTTTTATGCCAAATATTTACTTATAAAAGTTTTAGAATATTAATATTTTACTTTAAAAACATGTTAGTTTACAAAAGAAAAATGCTTTATAAAATTACCCGCTTGTCATGTAGGTTTTTACTCCTGATGATGGTAGCATAAAGCGACCAAAACATGTATTCTTTTTAATTTTGGCCATCAGCCAAATAAAAATTTTGTGTTTTTAATTTTAAAATTTATTGCACAAGTTGCTATAATTGAATTTTCAAAAATGCATTATTATTTTGAATCTTTGACTACTATTTAACTGTAAGCACTATAACCTGTGAAGTATAAGTAATAACAAAAATTAATATGTTTGTGCTGAAGAAAAGCATTAAGAATTGTTATAAAATTCTTAGTTAATTATATAAACATTTTGCTATTTTTAAATGATACTTCATCTTAATACTGTTACACTTTTTGTAACCTAGAGGAATAAATTACACATAATGCAATAATTGGTAACCACTATTTATTGTGAGTTTCTACATTTATGGAAGTCGGTTATCTGAAAACATTCACACATTAAGTCTAGTTTTCAGGTTAGTACAATTTTAAGAATGCATTCATTTTGATACTGATAACAGTTTTATATGATCAGTTCATGCGAGGCTATTGTATTATATCCTTATCATCGACCTAGTGGATCCAAGATTGCTCAAAACTGAATTTCTAAGCCAGTTATAGAAATGTTATTGTTCAGTATGAGCTAATTTTATAGCAAACTAACCTATATATTTAAATTTGATATACAACAACACTTTTTCTAACCTTAGAAATTATTGGCAAAGCATTTGGTTAAAGTTGTTTTAGTCAAGTAGTTTATAAACTAAGAAAGTCCACATTTTAAAATTAGTACTAATATGAAATTATTTTTGGAGTATTTACTGTTTTTAACAAATATATAGTAAACTAAGATTGACAGGAAACCAGATAACATGATTAATAGGCATATCTTTTCTCTTGTTACATTTTTCATACATCTTAGTTTTCATTAATTGATAACAATCATGGTAAATAATATTAAGTAATGCACTTAATATGCTTAATTTTCAATGCTAGCAATTTTTTTAAATAAAATATCAACAATGAACTTAACATCAATTCTGTGGAAACAAATCAGGCTAGATGTAAGTGTGAAAAAACAATATTTTTTTTACAAGAGTTATACATGCAAAAGCTTTTTTACAACCTTCAAGTGATAACACCCAAGTTGCTTTATTGGTATATTCATGTGATGCTGGTAAATAAAACATTAAGAAATAACTTTATATGTACATATACATATATAAAACTACTAACATATTCTCTAAGTTGTGGAACTGCTCTTAAATTTCATCAAGTCTCTAACAAGAGTACGTGGTGTCTTACTGTCCTGAAAATAGCTGACTGCTTCATTCATATGTTGTGAAGTGACCGAATTTGATAAATCTCCACAAGATTTCAGTAACAAAACATTATGGCTAAGACTATCTACATGGATTTGCAAGTTTTGTTGCATAGTCCTGAGTCTGTCAAGCACACCAGAATACATTACGGTGGACTCGTTCAGCTCAGTTTTACCTAACGTAGATGAAGAGGCAAGAGATTTCTGTGGCTCTTCACTTTCAAAATATTTTCTTTCTTTCTCTAGCAAGTGATCCCATTCTGAACTTTCAACATTCAATTTGTCAACATACATACTATAACAGGAAATTTCATCATCATCTTTTACTTCTTGTGGGAGAGTTTCATCAACAACAGTAGTAGCCAACTTAGTCAGATTTTTGCTTTGTATTTCTTGCTGGATCTTTTCAAGACTATTACCCACTTTGTCAAAGCAATCATCAGTGTCGTAACTAGAAAATTCTGGGTCTTCCTTCATCTTTTTTAATGTATATTTGAAGCACATTTCAAAAAGACAATTCAGCCTTTCTTCTGGAGGAAGTTCATCGGGAATAGTTTCATACAAGGAAGAAATTGGAAGAGCTGTCAGCCCTCTACTCAGTCGACGACCACTTACAAAACTTGACCTTCGCCTTTTCTTTTTTTGAGAAGAGCTGCGACTACCAGGCATTATGCTGAAAATTAAAAAAGATTGAGATTACAACCTACTCCAACACTAGTATAACTCCTCCAAATCTGGAAGCATTCTGGCATATCTTTAGTCTTAACCATCTCTAAGTCTAACAACCCAAAATCCTCACTTAAGTTGATTAAAAGTAAAACTGAATATGATATTAAAATGAGGTTTAACCAGCATCTATGAAAATTAATGTTATAATAGGTAAGAACAGGCAAAATTTGCACTTCGACAAGTTGGAGTTTTTCACATACATTGTATACAATGATACATACTCAAAAAATATGCTTTTCTGTCAACATTACTGTTAAAATCAGATAATGTTTCCGAATTATCAGTGCTATTTTGTTACTACTTTTTTAAACTTAAGTCTTAAGAATCGTCGAAAGATTGTGACACGCCTTTTAATTTTATATCAGTTGATATTCAAAATAAACTATGCTTAATATTAAACTTAAAAGTGATATTTATTCGTTGAATCTGACGCATGCAATCATGTTAATACTACTACTACTAGTTCATTCAATTGAATTTGGAGTTTGATCTTATGACTAGTGTTAGTGTTACACTACATTAATACAAATTTAAAAAAAGAGGAACTAACCTCAGTTTTCAATCCTGATATTGTATTAAGAAATGACCAACAAAAAATCTAATTGTGTCACGTTTTCAAAATAGCTATTGCTTAACCTAATCTATATTAAATACTTTTGGAATAAGTTAAAACCAAACGTCGTATAAAATTAATTTAACCGCGCCAAAATTAGTTCTATTGAACAAAACGATCGCTGCGCCCCCTTACATACAATTTGCAATTAAATAATAAAAATATATGTTTTGGATGTTATTTGAATATAATTTAATTCGAAACCACATGTAATTACCGTTCATTGAATATTCAAAAAGACAAAATATTTAATAGTAAAGAGCAGCAATAACAATGGATTAAATTTAAATAAAAAAGCAATTAAAACATTTCTTAGCCGGAAAACGTTATCTTTAATAAAAACAAGATATGAATGTTAGGACATAAAGCATGTTTATTAAACATTTCGGAATAACAAAGATTCCACTATCAGTAATTTACAGGAACGAGAATAAATATGATAACAGTAACGCACTTACAGAGTTAAACATAAGTAATAAAAATCAAATTTGAAAAATTTTTCGTTATATGAAGACTGCTTGTTATTGAGAGAGAGAATTTATTAATTATTAAGATGTCTTTTATCAGAAGTTCAGTTTCAGGCTAAGCAGTTGTAAGAAATTTAATGTTTGATATATTGATAAAATGTTCAGTGTGTGTGTGTTCCCCCAGTTCAAACAAATAAATTTCCTTTACTGATAGATCGATCTGAGCAACAGCCTTCCAGTGGCATGTCTGCGGACTTACTACGCTAGAAACCGGGTTTCGATAGTCGTGGTGGGCAGAGCACAGATAGCCCATTGTGTAGCTTTGTGCTTAACTTCAAACAAACAAACGGTGTGTGTGCTCACTAGTCTGTTATTGCAGAGTGAAAATGATTATTGACTCTACTCCCTGTTTTGACCGATATTTTCACATGCTCATGCGCTTTTACTTTAAGGTGGCACTTAGTTTAATCAGTATTGGAAGAATTACATGTGCATAAATAAACGAGTCATGAATAATGAGCAATCGGAAGGTGGTCCTTATTATGGAAATTTTTATTATCATACATTCGGGCTTAAGATAACCTTTATGTCGACTTGGAGGTAGTATTAGTTAATAATTTTCTTAAACCGTTTCTTAATCGTAACGCTTTGTTCTCCAATATATGGTAAATGAGATATTTAGGCACAGTAAGCGTTTTGGGTGAGTTAATTTTTTTATTTTCTTTTGTAGATAAAAACCAGTGGCTGATTTTTTGGGTACTTGTTTTTGATAGCCAATTTGATTTAGGATGTCTTATAGAAATGACATCTCTCTGTGAAGTCCCAATTAAGCAGAATAAAGGTTCTAGGCGCTGTTAAGAAAGCAATGTGAAAGGTTACTACGCATATTGCCTGATAGATAGGACGCTCTTCTCGTAATCTGCTTGTCACGGGTTTGAATCCTATAACCAAATGTTCACTCATGGGGGCGTTAAAATGTGGAGGTCAGTCCCACTTGTAGTAGGTAAAAGAGTAGCACAAGAGTGGTTGGTGCTGATTCGTTTCCTTCCCTCTATTCTATCACTTTTAAAGTAGGGTTTGCTAGCGCACACCAAGCCTCTAGTAGCTTTGCGCGAAATTGAAAAAGGAGACAAACTAAAAGTACGAAACTATCGAACTGACGTGGGTGAAAATGCCGGTAAATGTCTTTTTTTTTGCGATAAACATAGGAAGAAAACTCGCTGGAGTCATAAGTAACTAAAATATCTAAAAAAAATGTGTGTTGTTAATTTCAACTTATCAAGTGAATTTTTTGGAATGATATCGTGTATTACGAGCATAAAAAAAAATTGAAGTATGTTCTTTAAGGTGAAAAATACCTTCCATACAGTATATCATCCAACAAGTTTGTTGTTAAGTATAAAGCTAATCAATGTGCTATTTGTAATATTCCAATTGCAGGTATTGAAACCAGATATTTAACATTTATAAGCCTTCCGACTTACCGTTGACCCACGGAGAGACATCTATTAAACAACACGTGGATTTTGCCTACACAGTGAATATAAATCTTATTCTGTTGAAGAGAGTTGAATCACTATAATTTACGGCAAGGCAAACGCTTAACTTATTGTTACGTCTCTAGTCGTTTGTTAATTTCCCGGTATAAATTCTTCCCAAGGAACTTCAGTGATACAAGTCCTTTCTTAACTAAAACTAGTTTATTATTTCTCGATACTTTATAATACACAGAATTTCCACAGTCACTTTAACTTAACACACGCTATAATTCACAACGATTCACGCACTTTACTTACGGTCACTACCGCTCACTTGACTAAATTATCTTTCTCTATATCTCTCTATCTGCAGTTGTATCTCTGCTTTATTTGCCGGCCTATATACAAAAATAGAGGGCGTCTGGTAAACACTCGGGCTTTCATGATCCGTCTAGAAACTCATTAAGTGTTACCAGCGTCAGCGACCTCCGCTGTCGTAACATTATTATAGTGCCGATACCACTATGATGTGTAGCCTTACCAGATGGGGAATTTACTCGTTTGATCTTCGCCAACCACTTTTTGTGAAGATCTAAGTTTGTTGATGCTGATATCAAAAGGAACCTCGTTTCTGCTTGACTTTCTAAGCAATTAGAACACCTGTAAACATGATGCCATCTTACAAGTTAAGTGCTACATTTTGCTTCACTATGCTATAACATACTACATGCTCACCGGGAAAGGATTTAACAATACGCTCTGAATATTGAAAACTTTGCAAAAATAGCTTATAAATGGTATTAGACGTGCAAGTAAAAGAAATTATGGCTTGTGTCTCTATTACAACTAAGGAGAATTTTGTTTTTGTAGCTTCTATATATTAATCTTCTACAGTCGTTACTATGTGCATAAAACTTGTTTTCATCAGTATCGTGCATTAGTAGTGTTTATTCATTGGGATGTTAGTTGCATGCCTCTCAGTCTTCGACACAGGGGTGTCTGACTGACGTGTCCTTATCTAATGACAGTACCTATATCATCGTGAAGATATACCTTACTCGTTTGTCCGTAGAAATATGTAGACCTTATCAATATTTTCAACAGTTAATAAATATTTGGACACTTGTACATATATTTAATGTCAAGTTTTGAATTTATACAAATATTGCTTTCACAAAATATGCCAAACATGCTCTACTTTTCAGTTGTTGGGTAGTTATAAAGTGACAGTCAATCCCACTATTCGTTGGTACAAAAAGTAGCCCAAGAGTTGGAAGGGGTGGTGATGACTAACTGCCTTCCTTCTAGTCTTTCACTGCTATATTAGGAACGGCTAGCGCAGATAGCCCTCGTGTAGTTTTGCGCGAAATTCACACAAACAAACACAAAATATGACTGCCGATACAGGTATACTATGAAAGCTACCAGTTTTTTTTTCCATGTCTGCAGCAACTCATATTGATTTTCTTGTTGGGTCAGTTGGGATTCTGTAAAAAAAGAATAAATACCTTTTTGAAGTTCATCTATTTGTGCAACCAGTAATGCAACAGTGGAAAAACATTTTGAAGTAGTTGTTTTTTCACTGCCTAGAATGTACGCGCCCTACCGTCCAATATGGCAATCACTAAAAGAAAACAAGATTACGTGATCTCATGAGGTCATGCAGAAATGGTCTATTGAAGAAAGGATTTTTCTCAACTAAAGCTAGTGAGATAAAAGTAAAATACAAAAAAATACGTAAAGATGTGGTATATTCAAGTGAACTGAATATATTGTTACGTCTCCGTTCGTTAGTTAATTTTTCGTAAAAATTCCTCCCGAATAATTTTACCGATACAAGTCCTTTCTTAAATAAAATTGGTTTATTCTTTCTGAATACAACTTTGCGATACACTTAATTTCAACAGTCGCTCTATAACAAACGCTATAATTCACAACGAACTTCTCACGTGCTCAACAATATTCTTACTCATTACCTTACATTGCTTCTTGGCCGGTCTTATATATACAAGACTACCGAAATCTAGTAGTCTCCCGACATTTCATGAAGGTTCGAGAAGGAAGTGGCGTGATACGAGCGTCACGAGACCTGCGTTGTCGTAACACTGCCCCTTCCTTAGTACTGTTCGTCCCGAACAATAGCCACTTACATTAAACCAATAACAATTAACAATAACTTAATTAAATGTACAGAATTACAATCACAAAATTACAATTCAACAAAGTCTCTTAATTTTATGGGACGTATCTTCTTCCGTACTGGGTCTCGTTGGCTTCTGCTTCATGTGGGATTCATCTGCTTCATCGGGAATTGTCCTATCATCGGTAACAGTCACATCAGTGGTAGTAACTTCACCAAGAGCTTCACCATTT